GCATGAGCAGCCCGGCTAGCCCAAGGGTGCGATTTTGAACGATCTTTGCCTCGAATTGCGTGCACTAGTCTCGGGATTTTAATTCCCAATTAATGTGTGATAAAAAAAATTAATTCTAAATTTATTTCAGAATCAATTTAGAGCAAGATGAAAATAAAACAAGTCCAACTTAATTAAATTCAAATTTAATAGTGCACAAGCCTAAATTATTCAAGAACCATTCTTTAAATCAATGTAGGTCCATATTGATGCTACAAAAATTGAAGGGCTATACTCATAATTAATTCAACCATACATAAAATTAATAATGAGATTTGACAAAATTAAAAAGATTGGAAAATTAAACCCTTTCATCCAATGAAAAATTTCCAACACTAATTTGCGTAAAAATGAAAAATTACATCTTCCAATATGAAGATTAATTAAATTTCAATAACAAATTTTGAACTTTTAGGACTTTAATCAACTCAAAAATGATTAAATCCAGAAATTAGTTCAACATGGAATTTAACAATCAAAGTTCCAACCAAATAAACAATTAAAGATTGGATCTTTAACATATTAGGGACATTAAAATTACAAGTTCACCATAAACATTCACACTTGAAGCAATTTATTTGCAAAAATGTGAAAATACCAAGTTTATGTGAAAAATGAACTCACCAAATTAAGCCCCAATTATGACTTCATAAACATGCCTAATAAGGTTTATCATTGCAGTAGATTAGTGATGCAACCATACATTTAATCTACCTTTAACATGCCATAATTAATCAAGGTTTAAAGATTTAAAATTTTTCATCAAAAACGAAAAATCCCTCGATAAACATGTTTCTGGGTAGATTTTGGCTTGTGGACAGCCCTCAAAGAAGGTCAAAAAACGATTTAGAACATCGATTCCACCTAAAAATCACTATTTTTGAGTCGAAATCTGGGTTCATTGGCCAGAATTAATAATATACGAGATTAAAACTAATTAAAACGAGCTTCTATTCTAATTATAAAGCAAAACCAGAATTTAAATCCATTTTAAATCACCTCAATTAATTATTAGTTACAATAATTAAAATGAGCGCGGCTCCGATACCGCTGTTGGGTTTTGTAGCGTCCAACGCTACGTGGAAGAGAAACCCGCCTAAGACCCTCCCACTAATTAAAGCAACTAAACATGCAATCACATAATTAACAACATAAGAGAGAGAAAGAGAAAAGACATTCTTACGCTCGACGCGTGCTTCGCTCGATTCATGAGCTCTTACTTCAAAGCTTGAGCCACGTAAGTGTGACAGCCTCCTACGGCTCGCATCCTCAACCCGACCTGAGCATTCTTAATCCCGAAGGTTAGTCGGGACTTGACCAAATAAAACTAGAGTATTACGAACTTAAAGGTTTTCTCATGAATGAAGAGATGCCATATTGAGTTCAACTCAAGTGATTTTTCCCAAACCCAAAACTTGTGTATTTATAGGGAAGGGAGCCTTGATCTCCCTTCTCCCATCAATGTGGGAGATTTGCATTTTCCTCTACTTTATTTTAATCAAAAACAATATAAATATGCAAGGTAATCAACAAGCTCCAAGTGTCACATGGAGGAAGAGAGTAGGTGAGGACCATTCAAACGGGGGGGTGGGGGGGCAAACCCCTTGCTCACTGAGAAAGCCCTTGAAATCGGTCCCCACACAAAACCGCACACCACCTCGCCACTTGGCTGGCTGGCAGCCTGCCTTGGCTGCCAGCTGGCACCTAGCACCAAGGCTGGGTAGCCCAGCTAGCTAGCAAGCACGCATGCGATGCTACTGCTTCTACTTGGTGCGGGCTGCTGTGCGAGTGGCGAGTGCTTGGTGCTGCTCGCTGGCAAGCACGCACAGCTACACACACGCGCACACAGCACGCTGCTGCGATGCGTGTGTTGTGCGAGTGCGCTGCTTGATGCAAGGCTACGAGGAGCTGGCGCTAGGCCCTATCATGCTAGCAAGCACGCATAACATGCATACGCAAGGCACCATGCTTGCGATGCTTGCATGCTAAGCGCAGCCTAGCTGCAGCTATGCGTGTGGCTGGGTGCGATGCCCACCACGCTAGCATGCATGCAATTAGTGCCCTCGCCTAGCCTAGCACTCGTATGGCTAGGCCAATGCTAGGCTACGGCTTGGCTCGTACTTGTCGCTTGTTGAATCTACGTCTCGTCAAATTCTAAATTCGACTCGACTTGCGACGCTCGGTTTCGAAGCTCTAAGCTCAACATCCGACGTATTTGTTCGTAATACTCTAATGACTCATCTAATCTGTCGGATTGATTCGTCATCTCGGATCGGTTATTCGATAGGGGTGCGACCCGAAGGGTTCAGTCAAGATTAAGCCGTAATTAATTATGTATTAATATTACTGATCGGAAGCGGCCTCCACCTAGGCATTCCGATCACTTAACCTTACTGAAGAATTAGCTTTCTAATAATTCCAAACCCTCTATCGGAATAATACACTTGTTGGAAGGACACCATTTCTTTCACTTGGATAAATTGGATAAATCTTGTATTACTACCGTTTCTTACTCAACTGTTATTAAAAATGCCATTACTACTTTAATTAAGCCCACTAGGGGTTTAAGACAGGGAGACCCTCTCTCTCCTGCTCTGTTTGTTATTTGTATGGAAGTCTTAACAAATAGATTAGCCCTCCTGAGTCAAAATAAACCTTTAGGTATTGGGAGTAAAATCTCCCCTGCCGCCCCAACTATCCCTTGTTTACTCTTTGCAGATGATAGTTTATTATTTTGTAAAGCAAACTCTTCTGCTTGTGTTGCTGTGCACAACACTTTAGCATAGTTTGCATCTCTATCAGGTCAACTAATTAACTTTCATAAGTCATCAAGTGTTTTCTCTAAATATGTTTCTAACCATAACAAAACTTCCCTGGCTAGCTATTTTAAAATGACCCCTAAGTCTTTTCTTGGTCGCTACATGGGGGTTTTCTTTAATTCTTCCTATTATAATAAAGAATATTTCCAACATCTTATTGCTAATGCAGATCAAAAAATGAATTTCTGGACTTCTAATTTAGTATCTAAAGCTGGTAAAGTTGTTTTGATTCAAAGTCATTTAGAGACTATTCCCTCCTATGCAATGACTACAGCTAGATTATCTTCTTCATTCGATTACCTCTTCCTTAGATAGAATTAATCGAGATTTTTTCTGCAGACAATCCCTTTCGAAACAAGGTCTCCCTATGGTTGCTTGTGACACTATTTGCCAACCAAAAAACTAAGAGGGTTTAGGTCTACAGAAAATTGATGTTGTTAATTCAGCATTTCTTGCCAAGTTAGGTTGGAAAATCCTTTCTAACACAGATAATTTATTGGTTCAGTCAGTTACAACTAAATATCTTTGAAGTTCTCACTTTTTGTCTTATCATCATCATCCTACAGATTCTTGGATTTGGGAAAAAAAATTCTCCATATCCGTCCTCTTTTAATTAGAGGCCTTTGTTGGAAAATTGGTAATGGCTCATCTATTCTTTTCTGGGTAGTTTTTCCTTCCACCTAATCTTATTCTGACTATACGAGGTATTCCACTTCCGTTATATCCTATCCATAATGAACCCTGTTGGGATTTGTCAAAAGATGGTCAATTTACCGTAAAATCTGCTAATTGGTTAGCTCACTCTCCTCTTATGTACCCCACAAATTGGGAATTTCATTGGATTTAGAAGTTAGATATCCTTCTTAAAATCCAGATTTTTTTATGGCAAATCCTCCTTAACAGTCTGCCTACTAGGCACACTTTATATTCTCGTAAAATTTAAGTTCCTACCTTTTGTGCTTTTTGTAATTTTGACTTGGAGACTCAAACTCATCTTTTTCTTTCGTGTCCTTTCTTAGTTTACCTTTGGTCTTCAACAACTATGTATAATTAGGTGGTCCATCTCTTACCCACTCAGTCGATCCATGACCTTTTTCATTCACTTAAAGTTTCTTCCCCACACACTATTCCTAAATTTGCTTTCTTATTTTGGAGTTTATGGAAATGTCATGATTCTGTTATACTTAAAAATTGGATACCTAATATTAATAATGTTTTCTTTCGTACCTTTCTCTATTTCAGGAATGGCAAGCCCGTTCTCGATTGGATGATCTATAACCATCTGTCCATTGTTCTCCTTATTCTCCTCCCCATTTTGTCCTTTCTTTTGTTAGTTGGTCCCCTCCCCCTGTTGGGTTTTGTAAACTTAACATTGATGGCTCTGCTGCTAATATATTAGCTAGGGTTGGTGTTGTTCTTAGAGATCATCTTGGCAATCACATTTCTAGTCATACTTATAATTTAGGCTCTTGTCCCGCCTCTTTAGATGAAACCTTTGCTCTCCGTAATGGATTGTTGCTAGCCAAGGACACAATATTTTCAATATTTATATTGAAGGTCATACTCTAACGGTAATTAATTTTGCAGGGTCCTTTCAAGTGCCTTTGGAAGCTGCATTGGCTTATGGAAGATATCAAGAAAATCTGGGAGTCTTTTTCAGCCTTTCATTCCCAGCATATTTATCGTGAAGGAAATCAAGCAGCAAATTATGTTGCTTCTCTTGGTTATTCTATCCCGATACACCAAGATATTTACCCCTTTATGAATAGCAAATTTTCTTACTTTTTATTTCTAGACTAGATTTCACTACTACATTTTAATCAAATGCAACGGCTAAAAAAGAGCTAGTGCAACGGCTCATGTTATTGTCGTTGCAGTAGGTAAGCCTAATGCAACGGCATAAACTTTGTACATCAAAAAGTGGAGCTAACGCCACGACTTTAAGAAGCCGTTACATTAGGTGTACTAATACAACGGCATGAAAGGCTAATGCCACGGTAGTGATATTTCGTTTAAATTTTGATATAAGTCCCTCTAATTTTTAATAAAATTTGGCGAGTCACTAGAGGAAAGTGAGGACACTCTTCCGCTCATTTTCTCTCTCTTCCGCTCATTTTCTCTCTCCTTTCTCTCTTTCTTTCCTCCATTGAAGCGGCGTACGCTGGTCTTTCATTCCTCCATTAAAGCTGAGTTGAGGTATTTATTCTTCTTCATAATCATCAAATATCAATTTGACAATCTAGGGTTTCACTATCATTGATTTTTTTGTCAGTATAGAAAATCTAGGGTTTTAAGGTGGATTATCGAACTATTTTTTGAATCAACTCATTTGAATTTCTAGTAATTATTATTTACTCACTATTTGTACGTTTCACTTGTTCTCCAATGGTCGTGGATCTTGTGTCGATTGGAAGAATTACCACCATCAGTAACACCTTGACAAGATGGAGGGAGATCTAGTATGCTTCACTAGACCACCGCTGCACCGCACCACCAAAAGTCAGTTCCACCACCGCCGCTAACACAACTGACATCGCCAGGGGTTTGGGTCAGTATTTTTATCCTTACAATTTCAAATCCCGGCTCTTAATTGGAAATGCAATTTATGTATTTAGATTTCTTTTTTTCAAATTGTATATTGAAATTAAAATATATTTGCTTCATTGTTTTACATTACTTTGTTTGAGAATTTAGAATTGTATTATTTGATTAAAATTTTGAACTTTCAAATTGGAGTTTATAAATAAAAAAGATAAAAATTAATCGTAATTCTATAAAGCAACACCCATATTGTAATATTTTATGCCGGACTTCATTATGTCTCAAAAGGCTTGATTGAAATTTTGCTCGGGATTCTATTTTTGAAATTGTAATTGTTTTGCAATTTATGTATAATTTATAATCCTTTGGAACTATTAATGTAGCTCCCGATTTTAGTGCTCCTCCCTCTAAACATAATTTGTGGTACACTGATACTTTAATTTTGGGCTCCATCTCAATCTCCCTATGGAGGCTTTTTTTTAAACCCTTCTTAATTTCTTAATTTTTTTTGTATTCCATTGTTTATTTAGTTGAAAACTAGAAATTACATGTATTTCTGGTTCTGGTTTGTATTTCCTTAATGTATGAATGTATGTCCTAGTATGAGAAATTGTTATTTCCTTAGTCACGAATCTTTAAATGCAATGCTATCAGGCTATTGTTAATTTAGTCCAATATTTATACTTGTGTGTTACTGTGGGTTGAATGGATGTGTTGGTTAAATATATATTTTGTTGGGAAGAATAATGTTTTTCTAATTCTTTTTCTAATTTTAGATGTGACTAACGTATGAGGGGTGTTTTCAAGTTGGATCAAAGTTAAGTGTTTATACTAGAAGATTACCTAACGGCTACTCAAAAGAAAATTATGCATTCAATGATTCTTTTAGTGTCTCTGAAATAGGTTAACTAGAATCACTATATACCTCAATCTAGTTGGAACATAAGTCAACCTCACAACTACAATGCACATAAGTAATTTGCCCAAAAGAAAGAAGCAAAAGAATACAAAGAAAAAGAAAAGAATCTTGAACATTGAAAGGACCTTCTATAAACAAATAAATGCTTTTAATGACTGTTGGACTTGATGTGGTGTAAGCTATAAGCAAATTGACATTTTTGTTGGTTATTTTTTAAAGGAATAGTGTCCTTCCAACAAGTGTATTCTTCCAATAGAGGGTTCAGAATTATTACAGAGTTAATTCTTCAGTAAGATCAAGTGATCGGAATGCCTAGGTGGAGGCCGCTTCCGATCAATAATATCAAGGTACAATTGATATTACAGCTTAATCTTAACTGAACCCTTCGGGTCAAACCCAATCGAATCACCAATCCGAGACGACGAATTAATCCGAGGACCGAAGGATTTAATAAGTCGACAGAGTTTCACGAATACAGACGTCGGATATCAAGCCTAGGGCGTCGAGACCGAGCGTCGCAAAATCACAAGCAACAAGTATAAGCGTAGCCGTAGCTAGGCTAGGCTAGCTCATCGCAAGCCTAGGCGCACCATGTGTGTGCTAGGCGTACCATGGTGTGCTAAGCATGGCATGAGTGCCTGGGTGCTATCACAGCCCTAGCATCATGCCTAGGCGCTATCGCAGCCCTAGCATGATGCCTAGGCACCATCGCTGCCCTATCGCACCAAGCACAACACCCATGTGTGTGTGCATGTGCATAGGCACTATCACTGACCATCGCAAGCACTAGGCGCACCAGGGGCACTAGGCAGCCCATCGCAGCACAGCAGCGTGCTTGCCTGGATACCTGAGTACGCATGGCAGGGCCACACACGCACCAAGCACAGCCATCGCATTGCTAGGCACTGGCGCATGTGCATGTGTGTGTGCGTGCCTCGCACCAAGCACAGCCATAGCAGTGTTAGGCATTGGCGTGTGTGCTAGTGCGAGGGTGCCTGGCAGTATCGCCCAGCACGCATGCTAGGCCCTTGCGTGGGTAGGCTCGCTGGCTGGGCTAGCAATGCGTGCGAGGCTTGTGCGTATGGTGCGAGGCAGGTGCGTATGGTGCGAGGCATGTGCGTGTGCGAGAGGTGCAACGGGGATGCGTGTGGTGCGTAGGATGTGCACTGCTAGCAAGTGCGTGAGCTGCTAACACAAAGCAACAGCACCAGCACAGCCCAGCACCAGCACGCACTGGCTAGCTGGGATGCTGGGCAGTGCTAGCTGGCAGCGCTACTGCAGACTCTACAACTGAAGCTGAATACTTGGCTGCTTCAGAAGCTGCTAAGGAGGCTGTTTGGATTCGAAAGTTTGTCAGTGAACTTGGTGTGTTACCCTCCATCAAGGGACCGATAGATCTCTACTGTGACAACAATGGAGCTATCGCTCAGGCTAGGGAGCCAAGAGAACACTAGAAGGTCAAACATGTCCAAAGGCGATTTCACATGATAAGGGAATGGAAATCCGAAGGTGAAATCAGAATTTGTAAGATCGGCACGGATGATAATGTAGCCGATCCTTTGACTAAACCTTTGCCTCAAGTGAAACACAACAAGCACGTTGAGGTAATGGGAATCAAGCACGTTGGAGATTGGCTTTGAAATTCCCTGTACATGTGTTTTAATTAAACTGGTTGATTTAATGTAAGACAATGTATTGAAACCATTCATTAATGGAGTAATTAATTTTTGTGCAAAATTATCATTCACTCCATTACTATTTAATTGTGGTTTAGAATTAAATAATGAGTCCATTCGATTTACGGAAATATTCGAAACAGGGTATTAAGACCATGTCTTGGATGAAGAAACACCTGTTAATTAAACATTGAATATTTAAATCAAAAATTGTCCCTAATCGAGGTCATCTAACAAATGGACGATTGATGACCGCCATAGATTAGTGTGTAGTATGATTTACAGCACCGTTTCTTGTGCTGCGAGGACGTGACAGTCATAAATCATTTGCACAGGTACAGTTTGGAACTGTACTGGATAAGACCAATGAGAGTACTTTAAGAAATTTCAAAATTGTCATAAGTACATTTCTCATTATGATTATCGGAACCTGTTTCTTCCAACCATGAGTATTGTGAAGTTTTCTTGTTTAAGTACTAGACTCTTTGATGTTTCCTAACGTTTGCCGTAACTGGAGATCATAACGGGAACACTCGGGAGATCAAGTCCTCTTAGTAAGAGGAACTTACAATGCAAGACTGGGATTGTCCCCCTATTAATAATAGGGAAAATGTTTTGTTGTTTACAAGGCCGCTCGAAGAGCGAGACTGTGAAAATGAATGGTCGTGCTCAGATGGATTTTAGAAATCATCTACTTATTGGCAGTCGAACTCGGAGATCGAGAAACACTTCTGAACGTAATAAGGATGACGATGAATCTTACCTTATAGTTCACGAAGAAACATTAAGAGACATAGGAAATGGGCTATACACTGTATGCACACTTGTCCGGAAGGACAAATGGGAGATTGAAAGGAATGGTGTCCTTCCAACAAGTGTATTTTTCCAATAGAGGGTTCAGAATTATTACAGAGTTAATTCTTCAGTAAGATCAAGTGATTGGAATGCCTAGGTGGAGGCCGCTTCCGATCAGTAATATCAAGGTACAATTGATATTACAGCTTAATCTTAACTAAACCCTTCGAGTCGAACCCAATCGAATCACCGATCCGAGACGACGAATTAATCCGAAGGACCGAAGGATTTAATAAGTCGACAGAGTTTTACGAATACAGACGTCGGATATCGAGCCTAGGGCGTCGAGACCGAGCGTCGCAAAATCACTAGCGACAAGTATAAGCGTAGCCGTAGCTAGGCTAGGCTAGCTCATCGCAAGCCTAGGCGCACCATGGTGTGCTAGGCGTGGCATGAGTGCCTAGGTGCTATCACAGCCCTAGCATCATGCCTAGGCACTATCACAGCCCTAGCATCATGCCTAGGCACCATCGCTGCCCTATCGCACCAAGCACAACACCCATGTGTGTGTGCATGTGCTTAGGCACTATCGCTGACCATCGCAAGCACTAGGCGCACCAGGGACACTAGGCAGCCCATCGCAGCACAGCAGCGTGCTTGCCTGGATACCTGAGTCCGCATGGCAGGGCCACACACGCACCAAGCACAGCCATCGCAGTGTTAGGCACTGGCGCATGTGCATGTGTGTGTGCGTGCCTCGCACCAAGCACAGTCATAGCAGTGTTAGGCACTGGCGTGTGTGCTAGTGCGAGGGTGCCTGGCAGTATCGCCCAGCACGCATGCTAGGCCCTTGCGTGGGTAGGCTCGCTGGCTAGGCTTGCAATGCGTGTGAGGCTTGTGCGTATGGTGCGAGGCAGGTGCGTATGGTGTGAGGCATGTGCGTGTGCGAGAGGTGCAACGGGGATGCGTGTGGTGCGTGGAATGTGCACTGCTAGCAAGTGTGTGGGCTGCTGGGGCCAGCGCCAGCACGATGTGCTAGTAGCGCTAGGCGCTAGCACAAAGCACCAGCACCAGCACAGCCCAGTACCAGCACGCACTGGCTAGCTGGGATGCTGGGAAGTGCTAGCTGGCAGCGCTAGCTGGCACGCTAGCTGGCTGCTAGCCCAGCAACCACATGCTGGTTTTGTGGAGTGGTGTGGGGACCAAATCCACCCCTTGGGGAGCAAGGCATATGGTCCCCCACCTAATCTTGGGCACTACTCCTTTGCACATGATCATGCCACTTGTCGCAATATGATTTAATTGATTATTTATTTAATTTGGAAATTAAATAAATCATTGATTTTTCAACTCTACCACATTGGTGGGAGATTGAAAACCAAGGACCCATTTCCCTATAAATACCCTTCACGGGTGTTGGGAAATGAACAACCTTGAGTGGAATTAAAAAGGCAACTCTTGTAATTAGAGTAAACCTTTGATTCGTAAAACTCATAGTTTTGTTTGTCCGGGTCTTGACTAACCTTCAAGACTTGGGACGCTCGGGTCGGGTCGAGGGTACGATCTGTCGGAGATCTCGTAGTTTCGGGATTTTTAAGTAAGAGCTCTTCGGGAGAGAAGCACGCTACAAAGGTATAATTCTTGTTCTTAGTCTTGCTTAATTATGTTTATTATGCATGTTAATTGCTTTAATTAAGGGGCGGGTCTTGGGGGGTTTCCTTCCGCGTAGTGTCGGATCACTACGAAACCCTACAATTTTTCTTTGACAAATATTTCATTTCAATACATGAAGTATACTTCTTAACAATGTAATTCCTTGTGATAATGATATATTTTATTTTGGAATAGGTCTAGTTCTAGCTTGACTAAAATTTATCATCCAAATATTGAAAATGTGTGAACCTACTATTAAACCCAAGTCCTAGGACATGCTACAATTTGATTCCGTACAAGCTCATATGAATAACTACTCTGTTGATTAGTTGGTGTGCTCAGAAGTACTATTGGCACGTTCTTACATCGTGTTTGCTTACTTTCTGTTTTTGCTACACTTGGTGGCAAGTCCTCAGCTCTTAGTTAGTTTGCTTACCTTCTATCATGCTTCAAGGCTTAATCTATAGCAAGCTAAAATAACTTAACGGTTTTATTAAGAGCTTATTCTTTATCTGATACTGTAATAAATGTTCTTGTAATTATAAAATTTTATTTTTACTGAAATAGGATTATAAATAGCAGGTTTCTGCTAGGATGATCACTGACCCGGGAGTCTAGAGAGGACCTAAATATTTCTCATACTTCCTAACCAGGTATCACTACATTTGCCTTGTTTCATTATATTAGTATATATTGTTTCAAACCTGCCTAAACTTGGTAAAGCAGGATATGTACTGCTCAAACAGCAAGGAGTTACAACGAGTAAATGAATGCCCTGGTATTATAGTCTCAGAATGACGCTTGCCTATTATAGTCACAATGTAGAGTTAACCAATAATGTATAAGCAACTTCCCTTGCTTAGGGACTTAGAGAGGTCAAGAATTTTAAGATGTAAACAATCTTAGCTCTTATGAGTCCAAGTTTAAAATTTCAAGCGTAGTTGGTAGGTTAATTGTGAAATATGGATAGTTGAACCATGAACTAGTAGAAATGCTAGAAACTTGGTTGTATGAATTTAAAATCTTGTAATTGTGTAAGTCTATCAAAGATTATATAGCCATTAGAATGTTCAAAATTGCCCTTTAATTAATTATCTAAAAATTAATGACTTCCCTGCTTGCTGATTATTAATTTTTCTTGTCCACAATTAATGTACTGCTCTGGACTACATGAATATGTACCGCTTGGGTGAGAATATATCTTGATCTCTATTGTACAGAGCTTTAGATCATCTTTGTATTTCCTCAATTCCCTCTATTTGGCATTCTGATTTACATTAATATTGTTTAGGTGTTAGCTAGCATATAGAGCCTAGAAATATTTACATATTCTTTATGCGATCATCCTCGCATTTTAAGCATCTAGCTTAAACAACCAGAGATTTATTAAAGTATTTGCTATTCTGCTTCTGATTGAATAGGGGAGACAGTAAAGTAACTTCTGAAAGATGTATGCAGGAAGCAGAAAATTGACTATACTGATTTTTTGACTCCTTTTACAGGTATATAGCTTTCAATTATTATTCATGAGCTATTCAGTTCAACGATAAGCACTGACTTAAATTAGGATGATGTAAACTGTTTCCTGAGCACATCAATGATTGGTATATGATTGATGAATAACCACTAACTCTCAAGCACGACAAAGGGATATGCGTACTTGTGAAAAAGTTATTTTGATGCTAGCTTAAAGTCACCAATAATAGGTACTTTGTTCCATTTATGTGAGCTCCCATGCAGATAAAAGGTAAATTCTTGAACATTTGAGTAAACGTGATTGAACCAATTTCATGTGGAATTTGTTGTAATAATATCTGTTTTTATTTTTTGTTTTCAATGCGGTTATTTAAAAAACTAATGATTGTTTTTTATAGGCTTTGGTCATTGCTCATCGACATGATACAGTTGTGATGGCTGGGAGAGTACTGTTTGTAGAAGCTGGTAGGCTGCACGCCATTGAGTAGACGACGAAGGATAAAAGGAGCCAATTATAGAGTTTTAACAAATTATGAAAAAATACCTGCTTAAGTTTTTCATACTATTAGCTCTAAACTTATGTCAAAATTATGTTTTAAGGAATATACATGTAGTTATAGGTGTTATTTGAACTTGTAATTTTTTTTAAGTGCGACATTATATTTATGTACTCTTAATTTTTAAATTCAATAAAATTTCCTTTATTTTGTCATATCTAAATAGATTTATATAATTATATACATATATATATTGGTTCATGTATAATAATTAAAAAATAATAATAATTATAATAGTCTCTGCCATGGCATTAGGTCTTAATAGCTTGATGTTTTTAGGAATTAATCTATCGCGACGGATTAATGATGCCGTTGCATTAGGTATTAAGCTAATGCGACGGATTAATGTTGCCATTGCATTAGGTGTCAAATTCCGTTGCATTAGGCCTATTGCAACGCCAGCAGATGCCACGGTACATGGCCTTTGCATTAGGCCTAATACAACGGATTTTGATACCTAATGCAACGGATTTAGGGGTTGCAATAAATAAAAAATGTAGTAGTGTTTTTAGATAGATTAGGTTTCAGTTTTGCGAGAAGACAATCCTAATCTCCCATGTATCTTACCTTTTAAAAAAAAAATTATTTATAATATTGTTAGTTAAGGTAGGGTATATATATATATAGGAAGATGATCATGTGAAAACAAATGTTAGGGTGAAAACTGAAAACTGAAAACGATTCATCCTAGCCGTAGATTATCATCTAGCAAATGACGTCTAACGTTTATATACTGATTTTTTCTCTCTCTCCCACGAAAACAATTTCTCACTCCTCCGTTATTTTCTTCCTCCTCTCTCCTACTCTCTCTCTCCTAATTTCTCGACATTTTTTCCCCAACTTTCACGCTACTTTTTCAAATTCAGCTTCAATTACTTTGTTTTTCAACAATTTTTCAGCTCTACGATCTATTATCAGGTGAGTTCTTTGTGTTAATTTTGCTATTTTTTACATGATTTGAGGTTTTAAGGTTTTTGAAATTTTCATCAATTTTGTGTGATTTTGCGATTATCTGTTCGATCTTGTTCAATTAAGTTCGATTTCCTGTTTTACTAATCGATTAACTTTTGTTTCTTCCTTACTTTCATTGATTTGTTCGGTTTAGTCGAGTTTTTCCACCATTGTTAACTAATTTGAAGTTTAACTTGTTGATTTGATTGATTTTTGCAGTGGAAGAAGAGGAGATTAAAGAGGAAGCGCCGAAAGATGAGCAGAGATCTAAGTAGAAGAAGATCTACAGCTTTCACGATTTTTCACTCGTCAAATAGTTTAACCCTAATTCTCTCAAATTCGTTCTTCAAATACTCCAATGTTGCTCGCATTTGTATGTTTTTCTTTCTCATTTCTTGTCAATTATTGGTATATTATGACTGCAAATTCGAGTTTTTACGATATTTGATGCTTTTGGTTGATATAGAGTGTAGTTGTTGGAAATTAATGATATTAGGTGATTAACTATATTAATTTTTTTCCATGATTTTGATGCGAAATGCTACTCGTTTCGCTCGATCTAACTTAGTCTTGCTTTAGATTTGTTTGTTCGTCTGATTTTCTGTTGAATTTTGTCTCTTTGGTTAATTTTTGGGCTCCCTTTGCTATCTCATCAATGTGGAGATGCGTAAGGGTTGGAAATTGGTTTGTTAATTGCCATTGGATATTAAGACTATTTAAATGTGAATTAGGAGTGCACTTAGATCACTGAATCTATTAATGCTTATTTCAATAATTTCTTAACTATCTACAATCTATAATATCTGATTTAAAAGCTTGCTTTGACAGATTGTTAGAAGTTGAAAGCTGATTCGTTGGAATCGGATAGCTTATGGTTCCTGGTAAGGTATAGAAGAATCACATTTTGGCTAATACAAAGTTATCAAATGATAAGGAGGAGCAGGATAAGTTATATGATGACAAGGAGGAGAAGGAGAAGTTATCTTATTTTTGTATACAGTGACCTTTATGTAAATGTGGTCAAATTTATAGTTACTTTTTTTTTTTGAACATATTGATATAGTTACATTATTTTTGTATATAGTGACTTTTATGTAAATATGGTCAAAATTGATATAATTACCCTATTTTTGTATATAGTGACCTCTAAGTAAATATTGTAAAAATTGATATAGTTACCTTATTTTTGTATATAGTGACCTTTGTGTAAATGTTGTTAATACATTAATTTTATATATAGTGACCTTAATGTAAATGTTGTAAAAATTGACATAGTTGCCGTATTTTTGTATATAGTGGCCTCTGTTTTTTCGTTTTCATCATAAGTCCTGAAAATCAGCGGAATCTATATATATATATATATATATATATATATATATATATATATATATATATAAAATAAAAAAAAAAAAAAAAAAATATCCTTGTTTCCTTTTATCCTACCTAAATTGTTTTTCCACGGTTGCTTCCGTCTCTAACCCAAAAACCTATATTTCCTCCTGAATTCGGGATTCTGGAAGCATACTCAACCTGAAAAATAAAGAAAGTCTTCCTTTCTCTTCAACCTTGATCGATCATACAACAATGGCGGTTTCTCTGGAAGAACTAGTCAAAGTCTTGGAGATTTGGCTGAAGCTTATCAAGAAGCCGCAAGAACAACAGTACGTAGACCCTAATCTCGATCCTGTTCTTTTGGTTCCTGGAATTGCTGGCTCTATTCTCGAAGCTGTTGATCAGAATGGCCACTCTGACCGCGTTTGGGTTCGAATTTTTGCTGCTGATTACATGTTTCGCACCAAGTTATGGTCTCGATTTGACCCTTCTACTGGTAAATTTATCTGGAATTTCACTCCTTTTTCTTTTTTTAAATTTTAATTTTGTTTGGTTTGGTGGGTTGGATTTAAGCAGGTATTAGTAAATTAGGGAAATTAAATTTTGGGGGAGTTTAAGTGAGAAGAATTGAGGGATTGAATTAGAAATTGTGGTTTTTAATCATCAAAAATGGCTAAGTTAAGCAAGCAATCGTGCAATTGTTAAATTATACACACGAGAGCATGATGTTCAAGAAAGTGAATGTGAACCGGACCAGTTTAGGATTGAGAAGAACATAAAGCAGCCTATGTTATTGAAAGAGAAATTGTGGATTTTAATCATCGAAAGTGGTAAGTTAAGCTAGCAATCGAGCAATTGTTCGATTATACACATAAGAGCATGATGTTCAAAAAGTGAATGTGAACCTGAGCAATTTAGGATTGAGAAGCACATAAAGCAGCCTATTTACACGCTTGGTGATCTTTTAGAGGTCGATTTCGTGTTCTTTAGAACATCTGAGTCTAGGGATTGTGGATCACTTGCCACTATATATTGGTGATGATCTCCTTTCATGGTAGTGACTGATGCAGTAGTTTGTACAAAACCGTTGTAGTTATTTTCCACCCAAAAAGCTATGATCATCCTTTGACTTATTAGCTATATTAGATGGTTACAACTTATCATTGGAGCCAAGACGAGTTTGGACTTGAGGTTATTAGTGCTCTGACTAGAGGAGTTTGGTGCATCAACTTCACTTGAATACCGGGAGTGGTTTCAGCTATTTCAACATAGATACTATGAGGATGCCTGGATATTATGTGGAAAGTAATATTATGGTGACAAAATTGTAATGATTTGGCACAAAATAAGCAGCCTTATATACAATTTGTAGAAGCTTGGAATTTGTCATATAGTTTGTTTTTTTTGGGAAATTCTCAGTTGTAAATTGGTAGCATAAACATAGTAAAAATTTCAATCTCATTGGTAGTCTTGAGCTATTAATTTTTCTATTTCATGACATTCACGATGATTTTTTATTGAAATATCTGTTAAATCCTACCTTTGTTAACATGATTTCCCTATTTGATTGCAAAAAAGAAAAAAAGGAAAAAAAAGACGAGGCTGCCCTTTCACCATATCTACCATCTGCTTCGTCCATCTGTCTATCAATCCTGAAATCATGTTGGCTGTGAAATTGGAGGTAGTTGCCTTTAATCCATCCCTGGTCCTAATCATGACAATCAACCCACCTTTACAGATGCTCAATTTATTTTGTTCTATTCCTTATAAATAACAACAACAAAACAAAGCCTTAGTCACAAAATGGTTTGGGGTCGGCTAACATGAATTGTCATAAGAAACCCTATGATATAAAGAAAGGGACATAACAAGATAATCATTTCAAAGAGTTTGAAAAAGGTGAGTAAAGTTAGTGAACAAAAGAGTATCCAAGAAAAATTTAGGGAGTTTTAAAGGAGACTTAAGAATAAAATTGAAGAAAGTTTTAAAGAAGTGGTTAAAACGTTGGAGTAAAAAACATAAAGGTTTTGAGAAAACTTTAGCAAAGGAAAACAATACAATTCATAAAACATTGTGGGGTAAAATAATAAAATTAAATACGAAAATAAATTTAGAAAGTATATATATAATCACGATACGTCGTTGACATGAATTTTCTCCCTCCACACTGCCTATCCAACAGCAAATTTTCCTCAATCCCTAAAGCACTCATGTCACTGTCAACCACCCTCTTCCAAGTTTTCTTAGGTCTTCTCCTACCTCTCGCTATCCCAGCATTTGTAATTCTTCAAGCCTCCTTACCGGAGTGTCATTTTGTTACTATTCCTTATCATACTCTAAATTTCAATACTCAGAGATTCTCCATATACATATGAGAAGTTTTTTCCATTGATTGGTTCACAAGAATATCCACCAAATACAATCACTTTCACTGCTGAATTTCTGCCATTAAGCACAAGCTAAAACAGTTATTTATCTTTGAGATTCACTGCCCAAATTATCTCTTTCCAGTTCGTTGTTTGATTTACTTAGGTATTTCTACTGTGGCTGCTCTTTAATAATGGGGTTAATTGATGAAAGGTAAAATGAATCATCTTTCCTTATTTTGATGGTGTGAAATTGGAGGTGGGCGGTTACAATTGTGTAGGCTGATGATGGTTGGTGGTAGAGTCGTGCAACTGTTGGGGCTGATGAAGGGGAATTGTGGAGATGAGTGAAAAAGATGTTGAAAGGGCAGCATATCTTCCAAGTGAAAGGGAACCATAGTTGACAAGGGTTGCTGGTAAATTTTATGGATATGTTAATTTAATGCATCATTAATGTCTCGTGATAGCAAATAAGTAACGAAGGGCTACCAATGATATTTCAATTTTCTTTTAGCTACCAAATTCTTCGTATAATGTACAAAGATTAAGACCCACCAACGAAAATTTCCCTATTATTCTTTTCTTTTCAATCAAAAAGCATGGGAAACTATTGAGCCTTGGGTAGGTTGAAAAGTTCGTGAATTTTTGTGTTTAAGGTAGATTCTCATAGCTGGTGGGATTTTTGGTTGTATTCAATAACAAGGCTTGAAAAAGTATAACGGTTCTTTTTAAATTTTTTATTTATTTTATTTTATTTTATTATTTATCAGGAGTCTTTTTATCAAAAAATATAGCCGGTGGGATTATATCGGGAGTCTTTTTATGTATATGGAGTTGAAGGCTATAAAAAAGCATATATAACTTTTAATCTATGCAAATTATTGTCAAGAAAAAGAATATGAAGTATTTTTTTGGGTTTCTCTCATTACAAACTTTTTTAAGAAATATCATAAATAGTCAGTTTTATGATTGTACTCTTATCTAGCTTTATTCGACTAATTCTGACTTAAGTAACCTATTAATCCTTGATTAACCCTATTAAACCCATGGCTCATATATCAAGGTGTTTCTTGGCATGCAAAATGAGGCGTTTGTGGTAATATTTCTTAGCATGCAAAATGAGGCGTTTGTGGTAATAGTTTGCCTTTGACCTCAAATCGGATTTTTAAGGGCCAAAATGACCCCTAAAATCTTGCCATAGAATTTTCTCCGCGTGCAAGTGGAGATGATTTTCGGGCACGCAAGCCAAGAAACTATGATTTTTTTTTCTTCCCAATTTTGACCTTATATGTGATTCTTAAGGGCCAAAATAAGCTTAAAACCTTAACTTATCAATTTACCCCGCTTGAAAATAGAGGCACACAACCCGAGGTGTTTTTTGGCACGCAATCTAAGCCATTCTAGTAGATTTTTGCCAATTATGACCTCGATTTGGATTCTTAAGGGCCAAATGATCCCCAAAACCTTAAGCGAGCGATTTTATTAGCACGTAAGTTAAGACTATTTTTAAACACGCAGAGTGAGGCATTGATTATTACAAAAAGTAAAATTAATTAAGTCAGAACTAATCAAATATAGCAAGATTAGAAAACAATAATAAAAGTAATACTATTTAGGAGGTTTAAGAAAAACAATTGCTACCAATGAAATGTGCAATAGTATATTGCTACCAATGAGGAACAACTCTATTTTTTTTAAAACTTTAGGAATCCTTTGTCAATAATTGTGTTTATATGTAATTTAGAACCCTTAGGTTTTAGCAAGCTTCACCCCTTTGTTATCTCCTAAGGGGTTTAAATCAGATTTTAAAGCTTCGTGGCCTTCATTCACCAAATACTCAAGATTTAGGAAGGGTTGACGATAAACGAATTCGCTTCACAAACTATTCAATATATCCTCACTTAGAATCGGGTTCCAGACTCGTAAATCTGTTCTATGTTAAACTTACTATCCTAATACAAGAACAAATCCGTATAAGAACGTCCAAATTTACAAAGCTTAAAGATAAGAATAAACTCAAACAATAGTAATGCCTAAAGAAAACTGAATTCAGCAAAAATGATTATATGCCTAAACAAATTTTGAAATCAAAGACATATTCCAAGTAGAATGCAAGATTTACTAGGATTCTATTACTAAATCAAATCTGTAAAGTTAAAGAATCCTAAGGTGTTTAACTCATGAAATCCTATTTCAAAATTTTCGAGGAGAGTGTATATGGGAAAGAGCTGTTTTTTAACCTTGCAATTCACTCCAAGGGGTGTGCAGTATGAAGGGGATGGCATATTTTTTTGCAGAACAAATTTTATATACCAAAACAGATGGACATTGGTTCTTTCAATTTACCTTTAGGCGAAATGATACTGTCCTTCACAACTGTTATAGTATTATATCAAATCCATTGTAATTGAAAATTATGCTCTACCAGGGCACTATAGGTATCCAATATATATATATATATAAATATATATATATATATATATATATATATATATATATATATATATATATATATATATTTTTTTTTTTTTTTAATTCTTTATTGACTGTAATGTTATACTATGATTCCATTTGTTGCAACTTTCAGTTCTCAGATCAGCATTCCCAATTTTTTTTTTCTCCTTTTAATGCAGGTAAAACACTGTCTTTGGATCCTAATACAACCATTAGAGTCCCTGAAGATCGAGATGGACTGTATGCAATTGATGTCCTTGACCCTGATCTGGTAAATTATGTCTCTCTTTTTGGAAGTCTACCTTTATATAAAGAGTGCAAAATCGTTATTCTGAAACATAATTTACCATCATTCTTTAAATGTTTACTTGTAAAAATTTTATGATCAAGCTATGCAAGCTACAAGCTTGATCTTCTAAGCTACTGTTTCATCTAAAATGAACTCTGCAGATATGCAAGTGTGCAAAATGATATGACATTGTGGAAGGTTTACTAGACAAAAACACTTATTAGTCAATGACCCTGCATGTGCTATTATCATAGCTTTTTACTTGCAACCGTTTTGTAGGTTATATGATCAGAATCTTCTAAATTTGGCTTGTTAGTTACTGGTGCTCTCCATTCTTCAAGATTTTGTAGCCATGATGAATTGTGGCAAGCTGCCTAAATTTTGTCAGCATTAATTTCTCTTTATGATAACTGGCAACTTTTGTATTTGTGAAGTAGGCGGCTGCAGTGCTGGGTGATGGGTTGTATTTCAGAGTACAAATTTCCAACTAAACAAAAGAAGATTAATTTTTGTAAGCCTTCAAAAAAAAAAGTAATTTTTACCAAAATCTGGACAAAGATTATGTTTCTGTTTATCCAACTGGGCCAAACTCAGCATTGATTTAGATGTTTGGTGTCATCACTTGATTAGCTGGTTGAAGCTCATCTACTGCTAAATTTCATTTATTTTTTTATTATTTTTATTTTATGTCTCTTTACTTCTATCTAGAGTAAGCTAGTAGCTGGCCTCAAAGAAGAAAGTGAAAAGTTTGGCAAAGTGTTCCTCTTAGCCAGATTTGGGTTGAGCTTGAAACAAATTGGGTGATGCTGAATCTAGGTTTTTTTCTTAAAAATTAATTTAACTCTGGATAACTAAAGTCTGTATTAGTAATAAACCAAGGATGGTTCAAACATATACATATACAAAGTAGGGCTAAGAACAAAATAGCTCATGTCACACTGAGATATCATGAAACTATTTTGCAAAATCATAAAATGTCAAGCAATTCTCAAATCTGTTGCTTGACTGTAGCTGTACAAAAGCCTCAAATATCTTAATGTGAAATCTTGTTGAGGGTAAGCAATACCATCAAAAAATTATGTGGGTTGCTTTGTTCACATGTCATTGCACTATAGATATTCATTACAGTGGCATTGCTTTTGTACTTCTGGAGGCTGGGTGGAGGAAGAGGGGTAAAGGAAGATGCAAGGACGACTGTACACCAAATTCTGAGTGTATCATCCGTCTGTGGGTGTAGGTTCTCTCTGTAAGGAATAGAGTCAGAATTATGTGGCCTTACCCATATTGATGTTGATGCTTTATGACTCTTCTTGATACAGAAAACAAAAGAAAAAAATATTGTTGGGCAAAGGTGGTAGTACTTTTTGAAGTGGATCTGTCGAAATTAAAGGATGGCTAAATCATGAGAGGTTAAAAGCAGTAATAGGATCTGAAGGCAAAGAAAAACAACAGGAGTTGGCTAAAAAGGACAGTAGGTAAATTGAAACTTGTGGCAAAGCAGTGAAATGAAGCAAATAAACTGGCAACAAAAGCCCTGATCAATTGTAACAATAAAATATTAAGAGCCTTGTCTTTTCCTTATAGTAACCTTGTGGATTTCAACCTCATCTTTAATTACTGACCATCGTTTGTAGGTTTGGATATTTCAACTTTCTATAGATCTTAGGTACTGTTTGGTACATACATATAAGAGAAAGGGAAAAGCGAAAGGGAATCAACTTAAGGGAATAAGGAGAATGGAAACAAGGAAGGAACATTAATTATTGTTTGGTTAAATTGGGAGATGGAATTTTGATTCTCATTTTAGTGTTTGGTCATGTAGCAAAAGAGAGGTCATTTTTTTCCTATTGCCACAAAGAGTGAAAAAGCCATCCAACATTTCTCATCTTCTCCGCCTTCTTCCCTTCACCAGATATTCTCTCTCTTCAGTTTCGAGCGACCTTTACTGTCTAGAGTTGTATCATCCTTTGTTTTTGCAGTTTTTACGTATTATAATCAATCATCTCTCTTATTTCTTCTCATTTCATCTTTAAATTCAGTCCAAACTCAGTATCCTTCTATATGTTTTTCTTATATTTTTTCAATGTCATTATGCCTAAGGCAATCAGTTTTCTCAAGGGCAATATGGACAACTTGTAAGTTTTTTCAAATCGAATTTAGAAAGTGGACTGTTATTTTGGGACAATCATAAAGAGGAATGTTAATTATGTAGGGACAGAGGGAGTAATTTCTGTTTATTTTTTTTATTTTTATTTATTTATTTTTAAAAAGTAGTATTTAAGTTGCTGAGGAGTGTTACGAACCATTGACTCCAGTTAAGGTCTCAAATCATGTTTGAGCTCAGGTTTCAGTCTACTCCGGGTTTGATTACTTATAGTCTTGATCACAGTTAGAACTGCATCACAGAAGCATACTTTTCTGTAATTGCACATAAAAGGTCATTATTGATTTTCTATTATTTTAATTTGTTTAAAACAGCCATATTGGCTCTTTATTGACTGTATAATCTGTACTGCTGATATGTTACAGACCTGTACAACTCAAGAATCAATGGTCTGGTCTTAAAATTAGATATGTATCAGTTGATACATTACATTGACTGAGATTAAAAACCATAATATATGCATTTGTGCATTATTTTCTTTCCATCAACTGTATCCCTCGTAAAAAATACAGTTACAAAGACTTTTGGCATGCAGATTCTTGGAAGGGAATGTGTTTACTATTTTCATGAGATGATAACACAAATGATCAAGTGGGGGTTTCAAGAAGGAAAAACGCTGTTTGGTTTTGGATATGATTTTCGGCAAAGTAATAGGTATGTTCTATGCTCTAATACTGATGAGCCGATAATTATGTGTGCCTGATTGAGTTTCTTGTAGCTGTTGAAGTCCTATTTCTACAAGTGTGTTTTTGTCACTCTGACTTTATATATATATATATATATATATATATATATATATATATATATATTTTTTTTTTTTTTTTATTTATTTTAAAACCCTATTTTTTTTTTTATTATTATCCTTCCCTGGAGTGAATTGGATGATTAGTTATGCTTTCACAATTTGCATTTAATTCTTCTTATAACTGTTTTGTCTAAGGTGACTAGACATCATGACATGTCACTTGCACTCTTGCAGGTCTTTTATCTTTTAATGTTATCTTTCACTTACATTTTAGGGTTTCTACTGTTCTTTTAATTTTTTTTATTGGGATTGTTTTGATCCAATTGTCGTTAAGTTTGGTCTACTGCAAATGTATATTCTTATGCTGATGACATGTTTGTTTAATTGTAAGAGTGCAGCTGTTGTATTCAATTCAAGGCCACATCTGTTTGCTGACCTATTATATTTTTAGCCAATATTTGACGGATTTTCTTTCCCCTTTTGGTTTTATTTCCATTGCATCAGGTTACAAGAAGTAATGGAGCGATTTGCTGCAAAATTGGAATCAATTTTCACTGCATCAGGTGGGAAAAGGATAAACATAATTAGTCATTCCATGGGTGGTATCCTTGTTAAATGTTTCATGTCTCTTCATAGCAATGTGAGCACTCTTGCTTTATCTGGATCTGTTGTAAATATAATTGTCATATTTTTTTTTAATTGAAGATATTTTTTGTAAATTCTTGTAGGTGTTTGAGAAGTATGTTAAGAACTGGATTGCAATTGCTGCTCCATTTCAAGGTAAGTGTTCATTGGCCATGGTTAACTAGCTTATTATTATTGTCCACTTAAATCTTGTTATAAGAAATTGATTGGTCCCTTCCACCTCTCTTTCAATTTTCATTCAAATTGTAAATGTAATACTTGCAATATGTTTTTTTTTTTAAATTTTATTTATTTATTTATGCTTTATGTTTCTCAAGCATTCGAAAAATATTAGTTGGGGACAACTTCTTACATTCCTTGTGGTGGATTAGAGAGAAACAGAATTGTATGTATGAATTCGCCGAAGGAGCACCTTCTCATCTCAAACACAAGAGATGTGACCAGTAACTGTATTTATACCATGGTGCAAAAATACATCTGTGTCATTTTTGTAGGGCTATATCATAAAAGATTTCACTGAATCAAAACCGTCTGGTTTAGTTTAATCTAATGTGATCTTGTTGAAGCTCTGAATCCAAAATTACATGCCTAATTCACCCCGTAAATCATCTCGTTTTTCTATTTTTTTTATTTTTTTTTGGTTTGTGTGTGTGTGGGGGGGGGGGGGGGGGGGGGGAGGGGTCGAGAATTCATGAACTGGTACGAGCTGTAAGGTAGAAACATCGTCTCTCATGTTTAGATCATACTTCATCAGAACTATTTTAGCTACACAAATTGCTTTCAATAACAATATATATTGAAGAGCGCAAAAGCCTAAGTGACTAATGCTTGAATTTGGGCTGTTTGGTGATGAAAACAAATCCTTATATTGGTAGCATCATGGGCTGTAGGCTCTTTGGTTAGCTGGTAGCCACTTGCTAGGCATAAAGTTCTATACTTGGCAATGATATCCTGGGATTATTGTAATGCATTCAGTCTTTGGCATGTAATTAATGCTTTATGCATTTTGTGATGTGACTTTAGGCTGTCTATACTTTTTTTTTTTTTTTTTTTTTTTTTTCCAGCCATATACCATCTTTTGACATGACAAATGTCATCTTGATCTTTTCTGGAAATGTTCAGTAAATTAATCTAGAAAAAGTAAGATATGTTGGAGAATAAAGAGTAGAGTGATGTAGAAGTTGGGCCTTTCTATTAAATTTGTTCAGTGATCATTATTTGTATGTATAATGGGAATTAAAACTTGGCCATTCCGTTCTATAACGGCCGCTTTCTGATGGTTTTGGGCCTGTTTTGAGAAAAGCTTTATATATAATGGTTAATGGCGCATTGGAAATAACACCAACTCGCCGCGATGGCGGTTACATTACGGTAGAATGGCACTCTATAACCGTTGAATAAAGGTAGCGGCCATTAAATTTTAGTTAGAAGAAATAGTAGATTATTAAACTTAATTTTCAGATCTAAGGTTCGAAAGTAAAACCCTAGATCTTTTAATTAAACAAAACCCATCATAAAAGGAAGACAGATATTGGGGTTTTAGCTGTCAAGGTCAGGTGTACTAAAAGCAGTTTGTACATCGGCCAATTTCCATTTCCGGCTACTCCTCTCGCGGCTGCTCTTGGCTTGTATGCTCTTTTCTACTTTTTTTCTTTTTTCTTTCTGTCATTACGTGGCTTTCTCTCTCTTTTCCCTCTTTTTTTTATTTTTTTACTTTTTTATAAGTTTTTTGGTTTGAGGCTGTGTTTTTTTTTTTTTTTAATTTTTTTTTTTAAAATTTTTTTACGTCTTTTCATCTGTTTGGGCCATAGGTATACTGTACTAACTGTAGCTCTTTTTAGTTTGAGCGTAGCAAAATTTGTAAGTAATCTTCTAATAATATAACAATATGCATAATATATATCTATAATAGTAAAATAATACTATGTACTGAAAGTCTGAAACTCTCAAAAATAATATTAAAATAATTTATAAATATTGTATTTTGTATCTTGTGCTGTATTTGAAAATAGTTTTGGCAGTAACATTATAAAAATACAAAAAACATGAATTAGAAGCTCAAAAATTGACTTATGTGAAATGTTTTAAAAACACACGCCGTGAAGTCCGCAATCTGTTCTATGTAACAGTTACTAGTAGCTCCCGTAACAGCGCAAACTCGACTACTTTTTTTCCCCCCCGTGGTATATGTGACAAAACTGCACCTCTATGTAATTAAAAAGAAAGGTTTCTACCATAATGGGAGGCCCTATCTGATCCTGAAGCTTAGAGAAAATATAGGACCATCAGAAGAAACTTTTAGGATATAGGACAAAGGAAGGGTAATTTAGCAGTATTGGTAATTCGTTTTTACAGATAAAGGTTGATCTTCTAATTACACAGAAGGAAAAAGATTTTCACACATGAGAGCAATTTCCAAGACTTTATTTGATTTTCACTATTCCAAGTAAACTCAAAGTGATTTCTTTCCCTAGCTATTGAAGAACTTGTAAGACAAAATCCTGATGCTCACATTCTAAGGCAGCAGCTTTGGACCCTTTGGTTATCAACTTATCATCTTGATACACTGCTTTTGTATTGTAGCATAATCTGTTTTGTCAATTCTGAAGAGGCCCGGGAATTCGACTGTTGTAATAATTCCAACACCATTTGTCAAGCTGAAACTTTAATATTGTTCCTTGTCATACTCGTCTGCAATGTCGAATATTTTATCATTTATGCTCAGTATGTTATGCAGAAGCAGAACAGAAAAGATAACATAACTGCTTTGAAATGGCAGGTGCTCCTGGATATGTCACTTCCACGATGTTAAATGGCTGCTCGTTTGTTGAGGGATGGGAACAAAACTTCTTTATATCAAAATGGAGCATGCACCAGCTGGTATGTGATTACTTTCTTTTTTTTTAGCATGCTGAAGATTTTACGCTGTATTAAGCATTTTAAGCAGGCAGTTGCAGCAGCATTAGATTTGTCTTGAAATTTTATTTGGAAATTTCTACACCATTAATTCCAAGTTTGGGTATTTTTACATCTTTATTTAAACTTTAATACGAAGTATATTCCTAAGAAATCCAAGTGTGGGGGTATCCTTCCCAAGTATTGATGACTTGTAAAACCTGTAAAATAGTTGAAATTTCTCTTGGTCATTTTTTTTTAATGTAAATTCCCCTTTTCCTCCACTCCCTTCCTTCTCCCTAGACAAAACCTCTCTTTTATATTATAATTATGGTTGAGGTATGGATTCAAAATCCCGTGCAAATTTGAAACTGAGATGGATTCTATATCCAATCCTACCGCCTGGTTCGCTTTTGGAGTAAATGTCAGATGATTTATTACAACTTTTTTTTTTTTTTTAATGTAATTTACTCCCCCTTAACCTCAAAAGTTCGACTCACTTGAAGACTATTTTATATAATTTTTTGGAAAAAATTGGGTGTAGGAAAAGGTAAGTAAAATAAGTGAGATGAAGTAAAAGATGGGTGGATTCATTATAAAGTTAAAGTGAGTGAGTAGTATAAAGTTAAAGTGAGTGAGTAGTATAAAGTTAAAGTGAGTGAGTAGAAAGGTGTAAATAGAGTGGGGTTAGAGGGTAAGGTAGTAAAGGGGTTTACCAAAAATGGAATAAAGTATAAGGAACTTGCGGAAACTTCCTAAAACGAAGTTGAAATTTTGGAATGAGGGACTCTGTCTCGACCTTAATTTAATTTGATTCTATTTTATGGTTGCAAGTTTGATCTGTATCCCACATTTGTATCTCATCAATGTCCAACTAAAATCAAACATATTACTTTATGTAATTTACCCTCTGTTACATATTAATTGCAACAAAGGAGTATTATTTGTGAGACATAAAAAATTCCTTTGTTGTAATTAATATGTAATGGAGGTAGTAATCACTATTATCATATTATAACCAAGGCCAATTAATTAAACATAAAATCTTTTCCCTAAATCAAATTATTAACAACTTTAATTATATGAAAAATAAAAATTACTTATTATAAAAAAAAAATGGCATCTCAAAGACCATTAGCATTTCTACCTTAAGGATAAGCAAAAGAAAAAAGATTAAGAAAAAGAAGGGTAGTGGCTACCACCATCAACACTCACGCATTTCATAGAAGAGATTACAACCCTTGATTTCGTTGCCCAATTTAATCTATTCAATAAGCAAAAAATATTAAAATTATCCATCAAAGAAATTGAAAATAAATCCAAGATAATAGCTAGTCAAAAAACCAGAATAGATTCTTAGGACTTCAGGAGAGAAAGAAGAGAGGGGGGTGTCTGAAATCTCTAAATTTTACGTTTGGGCTAGAGAGTACTAGCAGAGATAGGGTCAACTAGAATGGATGCAGACTCCACATAAGGTAACCTAACACCCATTTGATTTGTTGTGCTTGCTTTGCATATTGTATCTTGATTGTCTATAAAAACAAAGTAGACCCTCAATATTGTTTTAACTATTGGGGGATCAAGCTTATGAGCCACACTATGAAGTTGTAGGAAAAGGAAATGCAAAAGTATTTCGGATAAATTTGGTTTTATGCCCGGAAGATCTACTATGGAAGCAATCCATTTGATAAGAAAAATGATAAGAGTTTTATAGGGTAAAGAATGACCTCCATATGGTTTTTATTGATTTAGTGAAGGCCTATGATAAGGTGCCAAGAGAGATATTTTGGTGGCAATGTTGAAGAAAGGTATCCTGCGAAAGTACGTGAACATGGTTAAGGATATGTATTGGGATGTGTCAACAAATGTTAGGACACAAAAGATTTTCCTATTACAATTTGATTGCATCAAGAGTTTGCATTAAGCCTTTTTCCTTTTGCAACAGTTTTAGATAAAGTAACCAGGCCAATTCAAGATAAGGTCCCATGGTATATGTTGTTTGCGGATGATATCGTTTTGGTTGATGAAACTAATGATGGGGTTAATGCCAAATTGGAGCAATGGAAGCAATTGTTGGAATCTAGAGGATTGAAGCTAAGTCGGAGTAATACTGAATATTTGGTATGCTGCTTTGGTACATAGAGGGAGACGAGTTGATGATGTTGTGAGTTTGGATGGAGAGGATTTGACTATGAGTGAGTATTTAAAATATCTTGGGTCGAAATGGTGACATTGATTAAGATGTGGCTCATAGGATAAGTCGGGGTGTCTTAAATGGAGAGCGGCCTCAAGAGTGTTATGTTATCGAAGCATCCCTTTACTATTAAAGGGGAACTTCTACGGGACTGCATAAGACTAGTGTTGCTTTATGGTACAGAAAGTTCGGCTTTTAAAAAGGAGCACATTAAAAAGATGTAGGTTACGAAAATGCGCATATTAAGATTAATGTGTGGGAATACTCTAAAAGATAGTATTAGAAATGAGTTATTCGCAAGAAAGCAGGTTATGCAGGCATTGCAGACAAACTTAGGGAAAATCATCTGCATTGGTTCGGGCATGTAAGACAGAGACCCCATGGTGCACCGGTACGAAGAGTGGAAGAGTGGGATCATGGAGAGCTTAAATGAGGTAGAGGGAGATTGAAAATGACTTGGTTGGAAGGAGTTAGAAAGGATATGATGCAAATGGATTTGCATGAGAATGAGGTATTTGATCGTAAGGAGAGGAGGAAGATTTTTGTGGATGATTGTACGGATCAATCACTATTGGTTCATGTAGCCGACCCCATTTATGAGATTAATGCTATGATTAATTGATTTCTTTCTTCACCATCTGCTAAATCATTAGTTTTGGATGTTCAGGATTTCTGGCAGAAGTTGGGTTTTTATTTTTCTATTTGTTTAAATTAAAAAAAAAGATATTAGTTACCAAAAAGGTTCAACAGAATCACCAAACCAATGCAGCATACAGCTCTAGCAAAACCAACCTAAATAAATCCCTCTAGCTTTGCAAATGAAGCCTAACTTCCACCTCTTGAAGAGTTGAAGCCTAGCTGCAAAGAAGGAAGCTCTTTCACAAATATAGCTCTCATATTATCTAGTAACCAGTTCACTAGAGATATCACTACCAGCCATATATATAGGCTCACTAATATAAATTTATAAAGCTTGGTTTTGACATCATACTTCCTGCTTAGTCCAATAGCAACAGCTAGGAGCCCCTGATTTTTGATATTGGTTTAGCTTTCTATAGCAGGATTATATGGATATTGGTTGACAATAGGTTGGGGTTTTTTTTTTTTATTTATTTTTTTATTTTTATTTTTTTTTATGGTGGCTGTTTTTCTTAGACTCTTAGTTGCTATAATTAAGAGTGCTTTTGGAACTGAACCCTGTATCCCTCACTATGTCCTTAATTCAAGCACTCCTGCTGGTATGCTTTGTAATCAAGTGTGATTTGCACATAAAAGAAGAAAAAGTGTATTTATGGCTGCCCCTCATGCTGAACTTGCTATGTTACGTTGAATTTGCTAAGTTGCTAACTATGTTGCATGTGTTGTTAGTGTAATATATTTCGTGTTCTTTACTTTTAAAAAGCTTGTCTTTTTTTATACTTCATTGTGTATAGGAATAGAAGTTTGGTAGCATGAGTTGAAGTGGGAACTATTCTTTTTTGCTATAATTAATAAGCAGCATATATGTGATCAGGATAAAGCAGGAGGCAAAAGCTGTGTGTGTGTGTGCGTGCGTGCCTGTGTTGATAATAAACTCAAATGCTAATTGTTATTGACTAGTATTACTTTTATGTTTCAGTAAATGAACTTCTTGATTAAATTGATCTGATTCACGTCTTGTATTCTGTATTCCTTATTCTATGGTATTAGCATGAATATTCTTTGTGGTTTTGATCCCTATTACTTGACTATGATAATTGCAAATGTACCCGTGTTGCTAGGTGTTGTATTGCTCTGCTCTACTGTTTGATATTTGATGATTGTGGTTTTTAATTTTCAGCTTATTGAGTGTCCTTCTGTTTATGAATTGATGGCTTGTCCTGATTTCCATTGGCGAAATCCTCCATACCTTGAGCTTTGGAGGGAAAAGCATGATGATGATGGGAACTCCCATATAAGGTTGGAGTCATATACTCTGGAGGAAAGTATAACCATCTTTGAGAAGTCCCTTTCAAGCAATACGGTTAGTGGTGATTTTACTTCCATTTTTAATCTTATTACCATTTTAGCTCTACATATTTTTTCATCCAGTTAAATTTTTTGACTTCTTGTGCTATCAGGTCGACTATGTAGGTGGCAGTATGCCTCTTCCTTTCAACTTGGATATACTAAACTGGGCTAATGAAACTAGGGAGATACTATCTCGTGCAAGGGTTCCTCCTAAAGTTAAATTTTATAACATCTATGGAACCAGTCTTCAGACTCCTCACAGTGTTTGGTATGATAGATCAGTTCTTTTCTGCTCATACAACATGTGCCACCATATAATAGGGCATATGATGTTTTACATTATTGGATTTGGCATTTCCTAGTCTTTCAATAATTCCAGTTGGTCTCATTATTTATTTGTTGTGCTGCAGTTATGGCAGTGAAGATTCACCAGTTACGGATTTAGAAGAGCTGAGATATTATCAGGTATTCTTATATTACTATGGCGCTTATTATGTCTTTTTTGGAAGTTATACCCACTAGCATACAAATTGCAAGCATGCCTAACACTGTATTATCTGCATTACTTCTATGCATTTGGCTGTTGGATAATACCTTTGGTCTCTATAGCAACTCTCTGGAGAGAGATCTAAGTTTGGAACAGTGGGTTTTATAAGCTCATTTTCAGAATGTTTCATGCACTGTAGTGTGTCACATCTGATGCGCCAATGTTAATGCAATAGTTAGGGTGCTACCCATATGAAAGAACACCTGTAACATGTCACTCCTTTTCGTACATAGTAGCATATTCTTGTAAGTACTCAACTTACTTAGCCATTGATCATGAGACCGGAGACCTTGAACAAAGGCCTTGTTAGAATACTAGATGAGCGCATGTACTAATTTTAATGCTTGATGTGCCTGGTTGTATCAAATATAAATGCTTTCTCTTTGATATTTAAGATTTTTCTTGTTCAGTGTTATTTACTCTAGCAGATTCTCTAAATGAGTTATGTATTGGCATACCATAGAATAACCAATTAAGTTGTTTGGAGGATATTGTAATATGTTTTCCCTTGGTCCTTTCTGTTAACATTAGGGGCAATGAATGCATCAAGAAATGATGCAGCTTATATAAGGCCTCTTTGTGCAGTGGAAAACAACATGCTTTCGTGAAATGATTTTATTGTGTTGATATACTACTACTCTTTTGAAAAGACATCATTGTAAAAATAAATTGTTTTCCCTGCTATGGCATTTGACTTCAGAGATATCTGTTTGACTATTTCTGTCCATCTTCTGTTCTGTCCATCCATTCAGTACTCTTTTTTGGCTCAAGTTTAGACAACTATGCTCATATGAGTAATGGATCTTCTAGTTTTACCACATATGATCTATCTGACTTGCTTTCTACTATTACAGGCCAAATTCACAAGTGTTGAAGGCGATGGGACTGTTCCAACAGAATCTGCAAAGGTATTTTGTTTTCATATTTATTGCTCCAAAATTTGCAGTCTTTCCATTAGATGATACTTTTGGCAGCAATCCTATAATTATGATTTATTTCACGTTTGGAGGGTGTTTTACTTGTCCATGCCATGCACATATTTTTATGTTAACATGATATTTTAGAGTGATTTGGTCTTGTACTTTTGCATACCTTTGTTGGTAGGTGATATTTTTAGTAGATATGTTTATGCTTCAGAACTTTAGAAGTGTATCCTTTTGGTGCTGTTTTTCCAGGCTGATGGGCTCAATGCTGAAGCTAGGGTTGGAGTACCTGGTGAACACCGTGGCATCCTTTCGGATCATCATGTGTTTAGAATTTTGAAGCATTGGCTGAATGCTGGTGAACCTGATCCCTTCTATGATCCTCTGAATGATTATGTGATTCTGCCTACTGAATTTGAAATCGAAAGGGTTATGGAGAAATGCCTCCATGTCACTACATTACAAGAAGAATGGGAAATTATACCAAAAGACGCAGATGTGATTGATGATAGTGTGGATGCTAAGGAGCATCCTATAAGTTTTATATCGGTTTCTGAGGTAGCAAGTCTCTCTGTGCAATGATAAGGCTCATGTTGCTGATCACCCTTACAATTGAAGCCAATTAAGGTGATTGCAGTCAGCATGTTGCCGATCTTATGTGAAATGCCTTGTGCTGGCTTGCCTGTTCAAAATTGTGAAGATAATGTAGCAATGTGTACATATGTAAATATGATTGGACTTCAGTAGCTAGCTAAATGCTATGCTGAAAAGTTATAAGTGTACTTATGTGTGTAATGTAATTACGTAATAATGGATCGTCTTAAGTGTGAGAGAACAGACAAGCACTGATATGTTCCTGTAACGATAAATTACTCCTTATTTATACAAGTATTTTTTTTTTTTTTTTTTTTTTTTTTTTTTTTTTTTTTTTTTGTGAAAGGAAAGATACACAGAAGTTAGGAAAGTCTTCTCTCAAGACTAACCCCTAACTTATCAGAAGTAATAAAAAAAGAAAATTTACTATCTAAGAAGAAGAACCCACTCATTATTAATGAAATGATCCATAGTTATATCCAAATTGGCAATAGTAGAGATGTTCAAACTACACAAAGAAATAAGATTCTCAGAGGCACACCAATTGTCTAACCAATAAAGAACACTTGTCCCATTACCAATTTTCCATCGGAGACCACGAAAAAGATGGGGTCGTATTTGCAGAATTTCCTCCATATCCAAGAGTCTTTGTGCTGTGGGCAATACTCAAAAAAGGTTTATTGCGACAAATATTTAGCAAACCTATAAATTATTCAGATCAGAGATAATTTTCTAACCTAGTTTAGCTAAAAAAGCAGAACTAACGGTGTCTGTCTTGCGAAGGCCAAGGCCACCATAATCCTTGGTTGACAAATCGTATCCCAAGCCACCATAGGAATTCCCTGTTTGTCAGGGGATTGTTTCCAAAAGTATTTTCGATTTATCTGGTCTAGAGAATTTGTAGTCAATTTTGGAAGACCAGCTGTGGACATAGCGTTTGAGGGCATTCACTCTAAATGACTTTGAATTAAAATAATTTTGTTGTTCATTTTTTGTTCGGCTTTAACATTCGATGTTGAAGATTATGCTTCATAAAGGACGAGGAATTGAATATAACCCCAAGTATCTTCCCAAAAAAGATTTGGGGGTCATATTAAAATAACTTGCTAGATTTCCTTTATTAGACGAGGGAACTAACTTTGAAAAAACAATAGAGGACTTATGATAGTTCATCAGTTGAGAATTCTGATAAAATATTACGAATATGTGCACAAGAAGTATAAGTTGCTTAACAAAAAAGAAGGCTATCATTAGCAAATAAAAGGCAGGGAATAATTGGAACTAAAGGAGAAATCTTAAAACTGCCTCATGTTTCGGGGTTTTTTGTGTTCTTCGGGAGAGTTACATCACGAAGACTGATTTCCCGCCGGTTGTACTTGCAAAACAACGGAAGCTCTGGGTGTTCGGAGTTTCGCCTCTGACGATCAAGTTAGAAAGTGCTCGGAGTGATGTAAAAAGTACGGAAAGTAAAAGTAGATCTTCTCGGATTCCGAGATCAGGTGATTTCTCTGTTTTCGAGAGAATTGATTGTGTGTAATAAATGAGCGTGTCCCCTAAATGGGGTAAATCTCCCTATTTATAGGGTCATTGGTAAATGTGCCCTTACCTAGGCCATTCTGACATAGATTTGGTGGGCTGCCGCTTTGCGGCTTTCTCAGGATTGGGCCCTGAAAGCCGTCATTCCCTAATGAATATTCGTATGCCACATGTCAAGTCCAAGAGAGTCCATTTGGACCCCTTACAGAGTGACACGTGTCACACTCTCAATGGACCAAGTGGCGATGTAAAAATCCCCAAATCATTTGCCCCTCACAGGGGTGACGTGGCGGGCCATGTGACACCTGTGACAAGTGTCACGCATGCAAGGGTGAACAAAATTTTTACTGTTTACCTTTTGGAGTAAATGTCAAGGTTGCCCCAAAAACTTTTACCCCTCTATAAATATGTTTTCCCCCCCATCATTTTCGCATATTCACGAGAAATTCTGAGAGAGAGAATCTTTGACTTTTGAGAGAATTTGCTTATTGCCGCTTGAGTTCAATCCGCCTGCATTACAGTCGACCCAAGAAGTTTCAACAATTCCATCTCTTTCTTGTTCTTTAATTTTTCGTCTATGTTTGTAAGTCCTTTTCAAAATGGTTTCACAAATACACACGGCACGCCTTAGGGTAGCTGTCAGCCGATCACCAGGGACGGCTGAATCTAGGACTAGGAGTGCCGCCTGCCCCTACTTGGACTCCCCTCTGAAAACACCTTCGAATTCAGCCGTCTCTGTGTCTGTGCAGGACACTATTGCCAGAATTAAAAGGACGGCCCAGGGTCCCTTAGATGGTGAGGAAGACGATGACACTATTAGGGTGCCAAGAAGTGAAGTTTTTTATCACCCACCCGACACTCCAAGCACACCGGATGACTCCATTCTGAACGAGTCAGATGACGGGTCTGATAATAGTTCATCCGGCTCTGAACAAGGGTCATCCCAGTCAGATGCTATTTCAGGCGGTTCCAATAATAGAACTGAGCCGCCTGTAGGAGGCCGCCTCTCCTGAAAGAGGACAAGGGGAGGATTCTTCCTCTGCTCGAGAAGAATTCACTACCTATTTCACCCATATCTTTGCTGGGACTCAGAGAAATATGTTAAAAAAGCTAGAGGAATTTCGGGGCACCTATGTTATGGGGGCCGGATATGAAATTCATGTCCCTAACCTAGACGATACATATTGTCTGGCCATTCAATCATTCAATCAGAGTTATGGGGATCAGTGCTTCAGCTGTTACGAAGCAGTGATACAGGAGGGCTTGAGATTTCCCCTTGACAAGGACGTTGAGAAAATCCTAGACGGATATCGCCTGGGTGTTTGGCAGCTTGCCCTTAATTTTTGGGTGAACGTTCTGGGGTACGCCGCCGCCTGTAAGATGCTTGGGGTGAAACCGGGCTTTGAGGCCTTTGCTTTGATTCATTACTTGAGCAAGGCTCCTAAGGCAGCTGACCTTGGGTGGTACACCCTAACTTGTGACAAAGGGTTCATGATGACCCTAGCAAAGGAATCAAAATGGAAGGACTGGCAAAACCGATTTTATATCATCTCCTCGCCATATACTAGGCGGAACCGGAAGTATAATACTTGGAATAAGAACCCATACCTTCTAGGCCAGAAGGCTATCCTCCTGCATGTTCCTGATGAAAGCCGGGATCAAATTTTGATGCCTGACTTGTTTAAGGTCTCCACCAGAATCTTAGAGGGAGGGAATGAGAGGGAGATAATTACCCATAGTTACATCTTTAGGTTTGAGTGGCTAAGGGACCCTTTTTTACATGACCGTGTAAGTCAGGTGTTATTTGAAGTGGCTATCAGTTGGGCCTAGTTGGAAAAAACATAAACTGATAGGTGGTTTGCATTTATTTGTTTCCTTGTATTGGAATTTTATAAATACAAACAAGAGCCTCTTCAATGAGACAACTGTTGAAAAACCCTAAACACATTAAACACAAACCAACCTTTTGAGATCAGAATAGTTCTTAAGCAATTCCAATCTTTGAGTTTGCGTACACGGATTACAAAGTTCATTGTATATAACTTGGGGGGTGTGCGTCACTAGGATACTTGTACCGGTGGTGGTGTATTTCGCTTCTAAGTCAGTGGATACCAAACCACGATACAACTGAATGAGGACAGGTCTTTGATTTCGAGTATGGAGAATTTGTTCCAGGAAAGTGCTCTAACTCTTCATTATTATTCTTGGAATCAACAAGTATTTTTCCAGCACTAAGACAAGCCATAATCCGACCGATCCAATTGCCCGAAAATCCCATTTTCTCCATCACCTTCTCCAAAAAGACCCATTCCACACGATCATAGGTCTTACTCATATCAAGCTTCAAGACAATACTTCCCTCTTTTCCCTCTTCCCTTCTCTTCATGGTATAAAAAATCTCAAAAGCGACAATTGCATTATTTGTGATAAGTCGCTTAGGGACTAATGCACTTTGATTTTGAGATACCACCTCCCCTAAGAACCCTTTTAATTTATTGGCCAAAGTTTTCATAATTTTATAAATACATTGCAACAACTAATTATCCTAAATTCATAAATTAATTTCGGGTCCTTGCACTTCGGAATAAGCACCACACAAGTATTATTGATCTCCTTTAAATCTGCCTCCCCATTCCACCATTTTTTCATAAAATCAATAACATCATTCCCAATAATATGCCAAAATTTCTGAAAATAGAGCATGCATACCATCGGGTCCGGGTGCTTTATTAAGGTGCATTTGAAACATAGCGTCTCTAATCTCTTCACCCGTGGGCTCACTATTCAGCATTGCATTCATCTCATCCGAGACAATCTTCTTATTCCATCTAGTGCATCCTGAAATCTAGTAGGGGAGCTTGTGGACAAAATAAGGCGCTCCAAATCAACCCGCTGTTGTAACCAGACCTCATTTAGATCAAGAAGCCCATTAATTCGATTGTTTTCCATATGTTGACTAGCTTTATAATGGAAATATTTTGTGTTTTTACCCCCATCTCTAAGCTCATTCGCTCGGGCCCTTGCTCATACGTAAATGTATGTATTGTTCTTTTTGGTTTTGTTTAAAGAAATGTGAATTGAAAAAGTTTGCCCGTATTCTTTATATGTTATGTAATATACTTGCTAGGTGTACCATGCATCTGGATGTACAAATCACCGATAATACAAATCAAACAAAGGAAATTGGGAAAAGACAAGAAAGTAGTTTTACTTGAAATCATTTTACATCAAACCAAATGAGCATTAAGCAATATTAAGTTTACATGGCGAAATTTGAATTTTTTTTTTCTTTTTTTTTTATCGTATCTAGTCGGATCTGATTTTCAAATTTGACCAAATTTGTACACTAATCCGTACGATAAAAAAATTATCAAATAAAATGTTATTAGATCTGTATTAATAATCCTGCTGGAAAAAAAAAATTGTATTATTATATGCAATTTCTAAACATGTAAATCAACTACATACTTATAAAAAAATAGGCTCACAAAATTTGTATATGATGTATCGTTTTAGAATGTTTTAAACTCATTACCTTATGTTTGTATTTTGATTTTAAGAGTATCAAACCCAAACCCTCAAGGTATGAGGTTTAGAAACCTAAATAGAGGTGGATTTTGCTTTGGTTCATACTCAGCGGATCGAGGATTTGAGGAATGGTGGTACAAAATTAAATTTGATAATAACAAAATTACAAAATAATATGTGGAGTGAATGCAACAATTTTTTCCATAACTAAATTTTGAGATAATAAACCATTTCAATCTGCAAGGCTTC